TATATATATATATATATATATATATATATATATATACACATACATATTCAATATTATACCATGTATCATTTATACAGACGAGTTAAGAATTTTAACGAGGACACATGGCATGTCTACCTCCATCCACAGGTAATGTTGCTCCCGTTATGAAACTAGCCTCGTCGCTCGCTAGAAATGCAATAGTCTTTGCGACTTCCAAAACGTTGCCCGTTCTTCCTAGAGCATGCGTCTGTTTACCGCGCTCGAAAAAGTTTTTAAGTTGATCTGCGTCCATTCCACTGGTTTCATGCAAGTTTGTTATTATAACGCCAGGATTTACGGCATTCACACGCACCTAGTGCATTAAAACAAATTTTAAATAATGTCAATAATAATTAAAAATATTAAGTTAAAAAAAAGAAATAGTCATGTTTACACATACCTGTTTTGGTGCCAAATCTAAAGCAACGCAACGCGTAAATTGATCCACGGCCGCCTTACTCATGCAATATGCCAGACAACCCGGAAAAGATCGTAATCCATTTACGCTAGAGATATTTACAATGTTGCCCTTCGTCTTGATTAAATGTGGTACTGCCAGCATTGTTAATTGATATACCGAGCGAACATTTACATTGAAAATCCTGAAAATACATATTTTATGATACTGGCGTGTTATCCAAGTAGAATACGGTTTATCAATATTGATAAAAGTTTTTATATATTGTCAGCTTATTATCACATACTTATCGTATTGTTCCAAACTTGTAGTCTCTATACTACCGTTTGCCAAAATTCCAGCATTGTTAACTAAAACATCTAATTTGCCATAATGTTTGATCGTCGAATCAACAATATTTTTCACATCGTTCTCATTAGTTAATTCTCCCGTTACGATGAATGGCTTGGATTGTCCACATTGTTCAGCTACCTTCTCTAAATTGTCCTTGTTACGGCCACTTATCGACAACGACGCCCCAAGCTGAGCTAAGTGAACAGCTGTTGCAGCACCTATTCCTGAACTGGCCCCTGTTATTAGGACGACTTTTCCCGCGAAAGACATCTAAAATAAATAAATATTCTTCACTGTTGCAACATATGTCATGTATCTTACTACTACATATATCTTATATAATCTAAGTCAATAATATTACAAATCATTCATATCTATTCTATTAATAGATAAACTTAATTTGCTCTTTATCTAATTCTTAGAACTAGAAAAAGATAAAAAGTAAGTTAAACGAGTTAAATTGAAGTTAATCATATATTGATAGAAGTGAACATTAATGTTATTATTATTAATAAGTAATAATATGTGTGTAATTTGCAAACGTACTAAATCAGCAGAAATATTTTTTTAAAATCGATTAGATTTTTGGAAGAAAAAAGATAAGTAGGAAAGAAAATTATACGCCGGTTATAGTTTCAAATTATGTAAAACGATATGATGTTCAATAACCACCTGGATACTTACTGCGATAGTATGATATCGAATGAAATATCCACAAAAACCAAGTGATAAAATTGTGAGAGCAAAGTACAAATCGTATAACACAATGGTAAACAGATACGATATATCACGGTATGGTACGTCAGTATGATAAGTGAGTTGGCGTTTCGTGTACTTATACGTTCTGTCCCAACTCTTCTAAGGTGCATTTCGTTTCACGCATGTCATGATATGTATCATTTATCTTTGTTTAACATTCGGTGAATAACAAGGATACATCATGCGCATCATATGTGAAACGGAATGTACCCAACATAGGGCCGATCAAGCTTAATCGTGATTAACTGTCAACCGCAATTGGTCGATTCTACTGAACAGCAAACGCGATTGGTCAGTCAACGGCCGATGAAGCTAACTGGCGTTGGTGAAACTGGTCCATAAGGTGTTTTTTATTGCTGCACTTTCTGAAATAATGCATACAGTGCAATAGGTTGGTAAGTGAAACAAATATATGTTTATCTCACTTCAACTTATTACACTGTGTACATCAGTTCAGAGAGTGCAGCAATAAGAAACAGATCTATAGATGTAATCTTAGAACATTGTGAGAATAGATTACAATTTTTTTAAAGTCGCAAATGAAAAATAGTACTTTATAAATATATAGTTACTTAAAAAATGAAACATTGTGAGGATAATGTAGGTATTGTATTATATTAACAAATAAAATTTCTTCGAAACAGATATAACAATACAGAGATAATGAATTTTAATTAAAATTTTTATCTCAAAATTAAAATTATTTTTTAAT